CATCGCCAGCTGCTCCTCCTCCACCAGCAGCACACAGCGTCCAGCAACGACGAGCAAAAAAAGGACGTGTGACCGGCGGCGCTGCACGAGCGTTGCTTGTAACAATGAGTGCTGTTCCGCAGCGCTGCCGAAGAGAGAAGATGGCAGGCCCGGCGAGAGAGCACGGCGAACGGCCGGGGCGCAGAGCGAGCGAGCGCACACAGTGAGCGCACGCAGAGACGAGCAGGCACTGCGGCTCGCGCATTGCGCCGTCACCATGGCAACGCATTAGGCCAGCGTGGAGCTCCCCCTGACTCTCTGCCTGGGCTCCTGTGGCCGAACCGCGGACTGCGGTCGGGCGGCGGCCGCAGTGTTGCGGAGCAGGAAGGTGCGGGTCGGTGGTTTGGGAGTTGTGTATGTGCGGGTTGGTTGTTACTGCGGTGGCTGATTGTGGTTGTGTTGCAGTTCGTTCGGTGGGGGGTGTGGATCAGGGAGTTAGCCGACGGGCGTGAGTTGCTGCGCTGGCTGCAGCTGTGGCGCGTCGAGACTGCTGGCGAGTCGCGATCGGGACGAAGCCGAGGATGTCGCAAGAGAGTGGCGATCGGACGGCAATCCGAGATGTCGAGCAGTCAGCGAGTTGTCGATTCGGTCGAGGGCATCGCGCGTTTCGAGTGCCAATGAGCGAAGCTTCGTGAGCCGGCTGGGAAGGCTTGAATTTGAGGCTGATGAGAGGTTATCCTTTTTTACATTCGCTTTTTCTTTCATATTTAACATGCATGGTTTGTTGGTAGTTTTCATCTGGCCTCCTGTCACTGCTTCAGCGGACCGGGTATGTTTGACGTGTAAAATAGCGAGTTGCTTGTGCCCTTCCGTATTTGCAGCTTTCGCATGGGATGTCACTTGCTCATCCATCCACTGTCTGGTCTGTTTTTTGGGACGAACAGCATGACAAACACACTGCCTAAATGCCTCTCACTTGCCCTCCCCTCATTTCCACATACAATAATTTGATGAGCTCCTGTGCGAATCTCTGTCCATTGATCTGTTAACTGCCTGAGCATCTCTGTTCTGAGCAGTTAAATTCAGCCAGTCAGAAAAATCTCAGCTCTGGCCAGTTAGGTTTTTGTCCAGTTCCAGTTTAAGGCGGTTCATTGTTAGATGCGAATAATGTTCAATCCAGGAAAGATAATTTTTGACGGGAATGCGATTGCACAATTTTTAGAATAGCGAAGGAGTGCCAGAAGTTCATCACGTCTGGCAACCGACAGAACTTGTTGGGCGTTTGAAATTTGGGAAATGGAATCCCGATCGGAAATGCGACCTATGATGATGTCCAGTGGAGAAGGGAATTCGCGGTGCGGGAGCTGTGGATTTCAGTAATGAAAAAATCTATAAAATGTATTTTGTTGTATAACAGTACTGTATTATTTTCGGTGTCTTTCAAGTGTATTTTGTAGGTTGTTTCGCTAACATATGCATATGTATGATATTTACCTTATTCTGTGAATAAACAATTTGAGTTAAGACTGTGTTAGCAGGCATTAAACTGACTGGGAAAGTGAGAAGGTACGGATTGTCGCGGTGGTGACCTGTGCGCTTTGCTGGCACGGCGATGCACACAAATACTTCGAAACACACGCGCACGCTGTACTCACACTTGCTTTATCGTCAGCATGCAGTTTATTCCATTTCTACGAATACTGCTGCACGCTGAAAGAAATGCAGTTCGGGAGCATTCTGTCGGGGTGAAAGAAATATGCAGTGAACTGAATGCCGAGGCGAAACTGACGACGAGCAGATGCGGGGAAGCGTGGTCAAATACAAAGCCGTTCTTTATAGAATTAACTCATCCTCTGGCTTTATCACTTGAAGTGCTAAGCCTCGTCTCTCATGCATCGCAGTAGTTTATTCGAGCGCTGTGTGTGTGTGTGTTGATGGGGACGTCTGGTGCTGTTGCGGGAAGCTGATTGAAAAACGAGAGGCCAAGTCCAGCGACCTCAATCGGGAGAGGTCTACACGAGCTCCAGTTCATTAGGGGGAGGGACTGCAAACCAGCATTTGTTCCATCAACCAATATTTTTTATGATAAAAATCTATCAATTAGGCGTAATTTATGGCGCACACTGCATATTGCAAAGTGACTGCAAAATCCAGTGGGGAGGGGGAGGTCTGCGAAGCTGTGAACGTCGCATTAATTACGGGTGGCCTGTTTGGGTGGCATTTCCAGGCCTCCGGATGCACTCCTGCTTCAGTGAGCTGCTTCTGTAGCAAAAGTACTCGATGGGGCGGTAGCAAAGTTGGCGAGCTTACTAAAGGATGTTGCTGTAGCGGAGACTGCATCGAGGGAGTGCCATTCAAGCTTGACCGGGAGGATGAGGTGCGGCAAGATTACCAGTTGCTTCGTAGCTGGCTACAG